AAAAAGGAACAAACATGAACTTTAAATCCTTATAAGCTTTAAAATTTCCTCCGAGACAATTAAAATCGAAGGCCGTCTCTCTGGAGTCCGAAAATCGAATCACGGTCGCAAAAATTCGAACCGATCCCTGCCGCACCGCCAAAATTTCCTTTTGCGCAACTTTCATGAGTCAAACTTTGGAAGAAAAAGAAGAAAAATACTTTGGGGTTACTCCCACATTTTTTTTCTTCTGGGTCTGGGTTATAACCGTCTTTCACTCCTTCTCCCTTTCATTTTTTTCCCATTTTTATTTTGCAGAAGCCACTCCCTTTTGCGGAGTAAATTACGCGAAATCTCGGCGAGAGCGCAAATTTTTTGCACGGAACAAGGGAGCGAGAGAGACTCGGTATTGTGTGTATAAAAGCTGATCTCCGGCTTCGTCCTCGGCATCAGTTCACATCTCACAGTAGCTCCAAGTGTTGAGTTGCTCGCAGATATTTTGAAAAATCTCCCCAGATATTTTTTTCCAGTGCGAAAATTTCAGCTCACCAACTTACCCCGAAGATGAACTCAATTGTAAGTATTTTTTCAAAGACGCTCAAATTCAAAGGGAACCTCGTTTCACAGAGGCTAAAAATTTTTTTCCAATGTTCGGAAAATTTCGAATTGAAAGAATTTTGAAGTGAACAAAGACAACAACAAACAAACAAAACTATCATAATCATTCATTGATAAACTGAAAAGTATGAATAGCCGAGACAAGTATTAAATTTCCTAAGACTCATGATGCTACCACAAAATCTACTGCATATAGATAAAACATTGCAACGGATAAATCTAAATTATTCCGCATTTAAAAAAAGAAATGTTGGAGTATTTTCAAGTCGGAAAAATTTGGCTTCATTTGCGTTTATAGGTTTGATGGAAATTATTTTCTCACGAAATTTTTTTAACTGTGCATTATTCAGAGATGTTCTATCTTCAGGAAATGTGTCTATTATCTTTTGGAGGTCATATAGTCAGCAAATTTGGATCCTTTTTTTTTTAGAAAATGTTCCAAAAATTATATCTACTTCACTAAGAAAGGCCTTCAAAATTCAAACATTCGAGCTTCGCCGGAAAATGGTTTGAGTTGAAAAAGTTGACCATTGCGTTGCATTCGAGAAGATTTTGCCAAGGATTGACTGAAAATCCTTCTGAATACAAAAATGTTTTCAATTTCGGGAGATTCGACTTGACGAGGTTCAGCTGCGTGAATAGCGTCGAGCTTCGAAAGAAAAGCGGTTTATTGTTTATTGTTCTAGAATTTGTTTTCAAATGAAAACTTTTCGGTGGAATTTGAGTGTCAACCGATGCCTTTTCTTCTTCAGGAATTTTTGAAAACCTGGGGAGTAAATCGTGCCCGTGTTATTCTACAATTTGAAAAATATTTTTGATAACGTTCAACAAAATTTTTAAAATCTCGTCTCTTTTGTCATGCTGCAGAAATGACAATTTAGGTCCATTTACAGTACTTTACAGTATTCGATTCAAAAATGGATCCAGCCGTGATAGAATGAAAGCGAACATGATTTTTTTTTTTTTGGAGTCAGAACTGAATTTTTTCGTCTCGTGGTGAAATTATTATACTGTACCGGTTTTTTTCAACATTGCTCCCATTAAATAGTTCAAAAATTGATTCGTTCATTCAATTCCGAGTTGTTCGGATCATTAGTTTCAAAAACCCGTGAACGAGGTGAATTTTACAGTATTCACTGAAGCACGATACTTCAATGATCTCAGTTCACCGGGAATAAAATGCAGTACAGTATTTCAATTCATGTCGATTCGATTTTTGCGTGCTATTTTATTTTCAAGAACTCCAAAAAAAAAGTTTCAACACCGGAGGCGTTGGTTCTTCATTTGTAAAAATATTTTTTTGAATAATAAATGTATGTATGAATATATGTAAAGGGTTGAAAATTTTGCATTCCTCTTCAAATCCCTGTTGTGATGTCGACAGGTGCTTTTGCCATTTTTGGCCGCTGCTTGCGCCGCCAGCTTGTTGCCACTGCACCAACACCCCCTGTACCACGGCGTCCATTTCGGGAAATACACCGAGGATCGGTCCCAGTTCCATGTCTCTTTGGCGACCAGCCTATCACACGTTACTGTTTTCATTTAAATTGTTTTCAGTATATGCCTTTGATTGAAAATATGAGGAAAGTGGTTTGATGGGATCTTTTGTTTTCCTCTGCTTGATTCTGCTGAATTTTTGAAGAAATCCTATCCCCAAGTAAGACGTACACGTACACCCCATTTTTAAATGGCTGAAAAACTACAATTCTTCAAAAATAAGACGCACCAGAAAGCAAATTTGAACATTAACCGCCCTAAATTTTTTGAAGAAATCCTATCCCCGAGGAAGGCGCACACGCCATTTTTAAATGGCTGAAAAACTACAATACTTGAAAAAAAAAATTAGAGGCAATAGTATCCAAATTTTGACGTGATTACAACCACAATTCCATCAATTTTAAATTGCTTTGATTTGGAAAAAAAAACAATTCCTTACAAAAGTTTTCCATTGTATTAAAGTGTGACACACACCTGAACATTCCAAATTTTTTGCAAATTTCCTCCTCGCCTATGATGTGCACTTTTTCCACTCAATTTTAATAAAAAAAAATGTACACGTGGTACTCGAGTATGAATACGGTATTTATAGCCGTCGAATTATTTTCAAGTCCTCATCTGAGACTTAGAAACAATACATTAAAAACCTCCTTCAAACATATGCATAACTCAAGAGTTTTATTCGAGTAAGATTTTAAAAATGGAAGTCGAAAGAGAGTCAAAACGTAAGTAAGTCAGTCACTGCAATTTTTTGCAAAGTTTGTCAAGGAGTTTTTACTATAAGAAGAGATATTGCTTACAATAAAACAAGAAAAACGTATAGATAGCGTTCAACCCAAGTAAAGGCGCAGACCCAAGAAAAACATTCGTTGGAGTTCCGTGAGACCTGAGCTAATAGGAAAAGAAACAAGTCTTTTTATATAAAAATTCTAAAAAAAAAAGCAAAGTCATCACTGCAACGAATGCAGGTTTTGTCGAGCTCTTGTAAATTATAAGCAACATAAAACGACGATTATTTCGTTAACCTTGAATTTTTCATCACGATCAGGGTTCATTTCAGCGGCTTGTTGCTCTTCATTTTTTTTTTTTTCAACCAAGGCATTTTCGTAAGACCTATTTGTACTTCTCTGTAACGTACTCGAAAACATGTTTCGTTTTTCGTTTGAAAGTCGTGGAATTTTATTTCAAATAATTGCTGGACTCGGTAGTTGAGTCCCGTGAACTTGAATACTGTACGTTCAAACCAGCTCCAGAATCATTAATATTCCTCTACATAACGAAGAGTATTTTGTTAACCTTGAATTTTTCATCATGATCAGGGTGCATTTCCACGGCTCGTTTCATTTCCTTTGTTGCTCCAGGCATACTGCACTACTTGGTAAAATTTAATTTAATCCAACTAATTTTTTTTTTCGTTTACAAGTGGAGATTTTCTTTTAGATAATTATCTTTATTCAGGAGTTGGGTTCGGTTAAGTTGCATACGTCTGAAACAGGTGCTGAGGATTAATTTTTCTTTAAAAAATTGTGTTCGCTTTTTAATTCGTATTCTAAACTGGGTTCACTTCCGCGTCTATAATTACAGGGTATTTATATTTTTCCGCAATATATCTTAAAATTTAATTAACAGTAGCCTGCTCCTGAATGTTGTTTTTTCGTATGTAGGGACACGTTTGTATTAAAAAAAATTGAATTCACATTTTTTCTTGACTGAAAACACATTTAAAGAGATCATCGTCGTCAAGGGGCTGCTCATGCTTTGATACAAAACTTCCTTACACGGAGAACAGCACTAAAAAGTAAAAATTTTGTAAACGAAACCTTTTTTCCTAATGTTGACGAACCTATTGATCGAAACCATAGGTATACGATTATGCTTTTCGAATGAACTTCTCGAAAAAGGTTTCTTCATTCTGAAAAGCATTCAAGGTCAAAAAAAGAAATTTCACACGACTTAAATAACCTCTCCGTGGTCTTCATCCAATCAAAGATAATATTAATGAATTTTAAAAAATTAGAGGGAATACTCTGGCAATAGCCGGTAGAAGCACAACAAAAAGGGAATTTCACGTACAGCACTTTCAAACAATACAATATAAGGAAAATGCTGTACACCAAAAAACTGTCCCATGGATCGAAAATGCCCCGCAAAATCGAGGTGTGAGTGTGTGACAATTTTCAAAATCAAGAAGAGCAATACAGTATTAGAAGATGATTCATTCGCCAGAAGAAACGTAACCCGAATGAAAGCAAAATCTAAATTTAAAAATCTTTACTTCAAGGACGAAGTGATTTTAAGCTACAGATAATATATAGCTGTACACAGGTCATTTTTAAAACCAGCCCACAATTTTTCAGCTTGAATCTTGAATACAAAATATGTTCAACCAAAAGTTGTAAGCAGCTCAGATTCGGAAAGTTACACCATGCATATACTGTACAATACATCAGAAGCATCAATTCGTTCTCATTTCGAAGCTTTTTCTAGCACTTATAATTTCACTAATTGGATATCAACTGAATTTTTTCTTCCGTGTGATTTTTGATTTCACTGATAGATTTTTTTTCGGTTATCTACAATTGAACGAAAAGAAGCTGATGTCACCGTCAAGTGACAGTGACATCAACTGGAAATAGATGTCGCCTCATGACCACTGTTCAAGCCATCTTCCGTTTTCATCGCTTCGAAGCAACCCGATGCTAAAATCATATAGCAAACTAAATAATTATTCTTCGCATTTTTACAAATGACAGCTCGTGCAGTAGCTCTAATAAAATTCAACTGAAGGTAATTTCTGAAGCATTGAACCTTTACCACAGGAATGAGTACAACAAAAATAAAAAGGTTATTATCATTCGTGTGCGCGTCTAGTAAATATTAACGTCATAATACCGTATTTGCACGCATAAAATAACAACCTCCGATACTTCAAATTTTTTCACGCTGAAGAAGCTTAGTTGAATAAAAGAAAACTTCATCCGGATCTCTTTTGGATCAAGAATATATTTTCTCAACATAAGCTTTGACTAAGCATTTATTGTGGAAAAGAAAATTCCAGTCTTGCAGAAAGCGCGTAAGAAAATAAAGGCTTTCAAAAGAAAAAAAATCTCGATTAGGAAAATCAAGGAAATTTTCATACTTCAATGCAAGCAATTCACTCGAGTCCAACGATGAAAAAAATGTCGTGAAAAACGTACGACACGAAGAACATTTTGAGAATGAGAAGCTGTTCAAAAACAGAGCTTGAATTTACTAAAATTTCGTTTTTAAAACTGACCTAAAAATATTTTAAAGAAATCATTCGTGAGATAAAGAATTAGATCTTCCGAGTTCTACGTTCCAGTGCGACAGAATTTTTTGTTGTCAAATTGATCGATGACGACTTCAGCATTCTTTAGGTTTATTTTAACGACAGGAAAAGATCATTGACGTCTTCATGTTTTTTTTTTGTCCTTATCTATACGAAATAAACTTCGGTTCCCAACAATGAATTAATTTTCAAAATTCATTGGTAACCGCGTTATGATGAGAGGTTTCTCAAAGCCTCTCCCAAATGTACACCACAAGAGTATCTTTGAATAGTTTAAACGATTAAAAACTAGCTTCTAATTTTGCAACCATGGAACACGAATGAAATCAATCTTACGGAGGCAACGATAATTTAAACGGCTGACAATGTGGACTCGATGGACACATTTTCAACTCCAAACCGCAAAATCAAACTCGTGATTAATTTCCCTCACATATGATTTTGCGGAAGGATTTTTTCGCCTCATTTTCCGTCGATTTGGTCCTTTTTTATCGATCCAATTGTAACTATACATAAACCGCATCCGAATTACTCAGCTATTATTTTTCTGCGGAAACAAATGTGGTCTGTGCTAAAAAAAAAGGCCGAAGTGATTAAATAAATTTACGCATACTCGAGATAATAATGAGAAATTTAGATGAAGTCAAGAGGCAATTCGGCAAGAATAAAAATATACAGTATAACAAGAGCACACACGGCATAAGTGTTTCATCGCCGAGAAAAATTGGGATTCGAAATTTAGTTCCAAGATTTTTTTTACCTCATTAGCTCAATAAGACATTATCATCAACATTTCTGAGCATCTTCATGCATTTTTTTTTAATTCTGTGTCTGAATTCCCTCAGAAAAAGTGCGTTAAAAACCTCCCTAACTCGAATTTTCTGGAGACCTATTTGAATATCATTTTATTGACACACGAAAGAGAAAAGAAATGAAATTGTAACTTGGTGGGTTTCGAAAGGAAGTGAAAGACTAATTGGGCAACTGAACCCTTGCCTCCAAGTTCAGCATTTCGTCAACACATTCAAAAAAATGCAAAGCTCAAAATCTTACTGATTAAAATTTCCTGTAATTATTTTTCTTTCCTTGAAAAAATGCTTGTTTCCTCTAACAAAAATTTGTTCGCTTATTACTTTTGAAATTCGAATGTATTTCATCCATTAAAATGCATAAATTACATCAATTACTGGGGCTTTATTTGTTTGGGAAAAAAATGAAACAGACACCCATTGCAACACATTCAAAAAATAATAATAATGCGAAGCTCAGAATATTACTAATTATAATTTCCTGTAATTATTTTTTCTTTCCTTCCAACAAAATGCTTGTTTCCCCCAACGCGAATTTGTTCGCTTATTTCTTTTGAAATTCGACTGAAAGAGGTTCGACTGTATTTCATCTATTAAATTGCATACATTATAATAATTACTGGGACTTTATTTGTTCGGGGGAAAAAATGAAACAGACACCCATTGCAAAACATTCAAAAAAGTTCATTCGTGTCTTATAATGCTTAATTTTAAAGGACATTAAAAAAAAGAAAGGAAGGTTGTTTTTATGAACAAAGGGGGTTGAGCTTACACAAGGGAATAAAGAACTTTAAGCTTCCATAAAGTAGATAATAATTGCATAAATTACATTACTTACTGGGGCTTTATTTGTTCGAAATAAAAAAAACAATGAAACAGACACCC